GGGATCCGAACCCTCGGACGGGAGCGCCGCCGCGCTTCCCAAGCGGCGCACTATCCAGTGCGCCACCGGGCCGGCCCAGAACAGAATTTAAATTTTAAAAAATTAAAACATAATGATTTCCATTCCTCTCAGTATATTCCCAACAGTGGAATAGCTGGGTCATATGGTAGATCTATCTGTAATTATCTGAGGAACCTCCATTCCATTTTCCATAAAGGCTGCACCATTTTGTAGTCCCACCAGCAGCACATGAGAGTTCCTCTTTCTCTGCATCCTCACCAGCATTTGTCATTCTCAGTCTTTTGGATATTAGCCTTCCTGACTGGAGTGAGATGGTATCTCAAAGTGGTCTTGATTTGCATTTCCCGAATGCTGAGTAATGTTGAGCATTTTTTCATGTGTCTGTTGACCATTCGTATATCTTCCTTTGAGAAATGCCTATTCAGCTCCTTTACCCATTTTTTAATTGGGTTATTTGGTTTTTTGCTATGAAGTTGTTTGACTTCCTTGTATATTCTGGATATTAATCCTTTGTCTGATGTATATTTTGCAAATATTTTCTCCCACTCTGTTGGTTGTCTTTTCACTCTGTTGATTGTTTCTTTTGCTGTGCAGAAGCTTTTTAGTTTGATAAAATCCCATGTGCTTATTTTACCTTTAGTCGCCTGTGCTTTTGGGGTCCTATTCATGAAGTCTGTACCCACTCCTACTTGGAGCATTTCCCCTATGTTTTCTCTAAGGAGTTTTATTGTTTCAGGATGTATACTTAATTCTTTAATCCATTTTGAGTTGATTTCGGTATATGGTGAGAGAAGGGATACCTGTACTCCAATGTTTATTGCAGCTCTGTGTACAATAGCCAAGAGTTGGAACCAGCCCAAATATCCGTCATCAGATGAGTGGATAAGGAAAATGTGGTATATCTACATAATGGAATACTTCTCTGCTATAAAGAAGAATAAAATACTAGCATTTGCAACAACATGGATGGACTTAGAGAAAATAATATTAAGTGAAACAAGTCAGAAAGAGAAATACCACATGTTCTCACTTATTTGTGGGAGCTAAAAATAAATAAATAAATAAACACACAAACAAACATAGGGTGGAGGGAGAAGAAGACACAACAATTGCAAAAATTCCTTGAACTTTTTAAAACAAGTGAACAGATATGATGGAAGTGGGAAGGGGAGGGGGGAAGAGGAATGGGTAAAGGGTCATGAAAATCGACTACAATGTATATTGAGAAGTTAAAATTTAAAAAAAAGAAAAGAAATTAAAACATAGTAAACAATAAAATAAATTTTTAAAACTTATTAAAATGTAGCATTCACCTTTATTTTCTGATGTCTACACTTGTTTTGCAGGTACTATTGAAAGAGAAGAGTACTTCTATGCCCAATACAAATTCCATGATGTAAGTTTATGCATTCAGTACTTGTTGTGACATAATAGTTCATTTTTTTTCTGGAGAAAAATATGTTCCAAGATTCTTAAAAACAAGGTGTTTCAAAGTGCTGACAGTTCTCCAAATTACATTACATTATATACATATGTGTATTGCCATCATTTGTTTAAAAATTCTTTTCTTCCCTCTGTAACAGAGAATGCTGAAAACCACTATAATTAACAATGGCTATCACGGAGTTAACACTCTGGCATGTGACACTGTTCAGATCCTTGGTTTGACTTCAAAGCCAAAAGTTATTTATATGAATGGAAAAATCATTCCAAGCAACCAAATACAGTATCATTCTAATATGGTAAGGTTTAAACACTATTGACTTACAAGGCAAATTTCTTTTATTAAATCCATTCATTTTCCTTGAATGCTCCCTCTTTGCAAAAACCATGATAGATCACATTTCTAAAATAACTGTTTGCATATTTCTGAAGCTCAAGGAAGACCATAAGCATACAGTTATATTTCTAGATAAAAATGTGCCCATATCAGGGCTAGGAACTTTGTTGGAATAAATGTCACAGACAATATCATGCAAGGCTGGTGTGTTCTCTGGCAAGTGTCATATAAAGAATAAATGGGAAGCTAAAATAAGTGAGAATAAAGGCTTATAGAAAATTGAAAGTGGAAGGTTCTGGAGGGACTGTATACCAATTATGTCATTTAACAGATAATTCATTTAACAGAGCATCCAGGGAGGTGAAGCGATATATCAAGGTCATATACTCTTAATAATTGATAGACTGAGTCTTAATCTTGAAACTACTGACATATCATGCTTCTTTCCATTTAATCTATTCTATTTGAAAATTAAACATATTTAGTAAGCTGCTGCTAAGAGCTTGAAAGTGTATATGTGTTATAGATACATGCTTACAGATAACAAGACGTGGTTCCCACTCCTGGAGAACTTAATGAACAGCATGCCAAATAGACACCACTGTCCTACAATGGAAGGAGGGATCTAGAGATTTCAGTTTCCCAGAAGCTCCCAATGAGTGTCTAATACCTTATCACACAATACAAATGTCATGGTCTTTACTAATACAGAGCATGGCACAGAGCTCAAAATACTGAATTTTCTTTTTTCTAATGAAAAAATAATTGATAACAATGTCGTTTGAATAATAACCTATTCAAAACTTACCTTTCTCCAATCGAGTGAATTCTCTCTGTGACTGGGGAATATTTTTGAGTAAACTGCTTGATATTTTAATCATAACAGTAATTCTTTACTTGAAGTTTTATAATTTACAAAACATTCCTAGAAACATTATTCCCTTGATACTCACCATGCTTCTGAGAGATAGACATGTACGGCTAGCATTATTACCCAGATTTTAGAGAGGAAGAAATAATGTCTTAGAATGATCTCATGGTTAGTAATGGAGTGGTAGGAAACCTGAGCTGCCCTCTCTGTTTGCTCTGTGCTCTTTCTCCTTTTGAAGCTCTCTGATAAACTAAAAGCGGTTGTTTGGGTCAAGAAAACAAAAATAGCTTTTTTGGGAAATTTGTTTAATAAATTTTTGTTTCATGTATGTGTGTAGTTGACCTTAAAAAAAAAGAAACAGAAAAAACTTGATAAAGCTCTGTAGGATACAGAGATCACTTTTGAAAGAAGTAAGTTGTTTGATTGTGGGATTCTATAGACTTATAATAATAGGGTCTACATATAATTTACTCTAATATCTGTGAGTGTCTGAATACATACATGTTACATATATTATATATCACACTCTATGCATATTATTATGTATAAATATGTAAAAGTTGTCCTTTGATCCTTGGTAACATTTGATTCTCTTTATAGAATCATAAGTTTAATTCTGATTAATTAAATTTCTTTACATTGGTTTACTTTCACTAATTTATTTTCTCTCTCATCTGTTACAGAAAATTACTTTAAGGATATTTCAACCCATTTCCCAGGAAATGACCATTTTATTTCTTTAGATTAAAAAATTTTTTAAAAAGAAAAAGTAGTCATAACTTATCCACAACAGTTAAAACTTATTTGAATATGGAAATTGTTTAATTTAAAAAGCAATACAATTAAAATATTACATGTATTAAAATTTTGTGTTGTCTGTGTGTATTACCTAAATTCTCTGACAATATCTCTTACAAAAGCTGGACAAAATGTTACATAAACTCCCTCAGCCTTATAAATTGAAATGCTGAGCTGATAAATAAGATTATACTTCATGGTCCTCAAAGCAAGCCTTTGAAAACATCATTGTGGAATTTTAGTTGAGGAGAAGGTTTGCGAACCTAATGAAATTTGGCAGATCTCTGGCAAAAGGTAGCTTTTTGTAAATTCTAACTTTTCAGCAAAAAAAAAAAAAAAGTTGGAACATATATTTGATTTTCATTTTAGATTACCTGAATTTTTTTCTTAGGAGTAAAATAATAAGATATAATTTGTTTTTCTGACTTGAAGAAATCTCTGAGCACAAATTTGCTAGTGGGAGTCAGGCATCTCAAGAAACTTTAACTTTTCGGGCCGGCCCGGTGGCGCACTGCTACAGTGCGCCGCTTGGGAGTGCGGTGGCGCTCCCGCCGAGGGTTCGGATCCCACATACAGACCGGTTCCCGCTCACTGGCTGGGCGAGGTCTGGGCGCAGCACCGAGGGTTGTGATCCCGTTGCCGGTCCCGGTCCGGTACGGGCGCGACACTGAGGGTTGCGATCCATTGCTGGTCACGAAAAAAAAGACAGAAAAGGAAAAAAAAAAAAAAAGAAACTTTAACTTTTCAAAGTTAAATAAAGTTTATTGCCCCAAATTAATTAACTATTCAGTGGTGTCTAGGGTATTTAGGAGTGGTCCACAAGGTAGGAGGAAACAAAGAGAGAGTAAGGTACAAAGAGCCAAGTGAAGAAAGTCATTCATGAAGAAAGTAGTAGACCCCTGGTTAAAATGCTATGAATGGGTCAAATTAATGGGCACTGGGAATTGATGTCCATCGGGTTGGTCAAAGTGAAAATTGTTGGTGAACATGACAAAAGGGGATAAGGTGGACTGGAGCAGGCCTAAGAGAGAGTGGGAAAGAGGCGTGAGTATAGAAGATTCTTTAGAGGAGCTTAGCTGTAAGGGGCAGCAGAGATCAGACAGTGGTTGGAGGAAATGGGTACAGGATCGGGTTTTGTTTTGTTTTTTTGTTTTTTAAGGTGAAAGATTATGTAACTGTAATTGCAGCATGGTTGATAAGAAAAATAAGATAGAAAAATATAGGTAAAAGTTGATGATGGGGAGAAGAGAAGAAGCTTCAGGATCTAAGTTCTTAAAAAGAGTGAGTGGATGGAGTGTAATGCACACAAGGAGGACTGGGCATCACATGGGAGCATGAGGAATTCATCTCCACGGGATAGAAGACAGAGCATGTGTGTCAGTGGAGACATTGGCTTATGTGTGGATTTGGTATTGGAAACGTGTGGAAGTTCTTTTGTAATGGCTTCTTTTTTCTCAATGAAATAAGAAACAATATTATTAGCTGAGAATGCAAAGAGGTAAAGAGACGTTGGAAGTTTGAGGAGAGAGAAGGAGTCGGGAGGGAGAGTAGGTTGATGAGGAATGATGCAATGGGATTGCTCCTTAGCATGGAGGGCCATATTAGAGTTAGATCAGTTAGCATGCCTTGTAATTTCTCCAGCCAAATTCAGCTGTTTGAGTGCAGGTGGGAACTTGTAGGAGAGTGGAATTTAGCTGTGGTGGGAATTTTGCAGGGGGATATAAAGGAGGGAGAGAAAAGGAGGTTGAAAAAGAATGATTATAATGATGGACCATAAAATCTTAGTTGGGTAAGGAAAGAAATGAGAAAGTGCAGGATGTGAGGGACAGAAAAAATTGATTGGGTCAATAGATAGTAGTTTCAGGGAGCCAGAGGAATTGGAGAGACAGAGAGGGTTGGGAAGTTGGCAGCAGGAGAATGGGATTCTTGAAATTAACTTTATGTGGGCAGAGTCTGTTAGGTGAATACTGGTCACAAATGTACTGTGTATGTGTGTGCTGTGTTGTGTTTTTTGTGTGATTTAAAAAAAACTATAGGTAGGGGAAAATGGCGGCGGGTCTGGAGCACCCGTGTCGGGAAACAGCGCGATCCTGAGTGCT